CAAAAAAGACAAAAAAAAAAACCCACCAAAAAACAGGGTTTCACTATGTAGCTCAGGCTGACCTGAAACTTTAACCCAGACTGGCCTCAGAACTGCAGTGATCCTCCTGCCTCTACCTCTCAAGTACTGAAATTACAGGTGCCCCTTTATAATGGCCTTGCTTTATATATATTCTCCCTTCTCTTTCTCTCTCTCTCTCTCTCTCTCTCTCTCTCTCTCTCTCTTCTCTCTCTCCTGTGCAGGGTCTCATTGTTTAGCCTTGGTTGTTCTGGAACTTGCTATATAGACCAGGCTGGCTTCCAGTTCACAAGAGCTCTGCCTGCCTCTGCTGGTACTGCTATATATATTTTTTATTTTATGTGTATGAGTGTATCACCTGCATGTATGTAAGTGCACTGTGTCATGCAAAGGTTGGGAAAGGGCTTCGGATCCCCTGGAACTGGAGTTACAGAGAGTTGTTAGCCATCAGTGGGTGCTGGGAACCAAACCCAGGTCCTCTGCAATAGCAGCTAGTGTTCTTAACTGCTGAGCCATGTGTCCAACATGCTTTATATATATAATTTTTTTTTCTGTCCTTTTGAGACAGGGTCTCCTTGTAGCCCCTGCTGTCCTGAAACTCACTATGTAGACCAGGCTGGCCTCAAACTCACAAAGATCTGCCTGCCTCTGCCTCCCAAGTGCTGGGATTAAAGACATGCGCCACGCCCAGCCTGCGCTTTATATTTTTTAAGGCTGTAGTATTAGGGCCACGTATACAGAAAACTTTTGTATAGAATAAATCAGTTTATTTTGTTGCTTTGTTCCTAATACTGCCTTTCCCTTGTTGCTGTTTAGCCCATACTGGCCCCAAACTTTTCATCCTCCTGCCTCTGCTTCCCAAGTGCTAGGATCATTGATGTGAGCCACCACACCAGGCCCTGCTGTTGTTTTCTGTTTGTGTTTTCACGTCCACTGCCTTGGTCTACCTGTCTCTGTTCCTTTTGCTTGGTCAATGCTTTTCCATTTTTCCTGTCTTTCTAGCTCATGATGTTTTATAATGAGTGGATCCTTATAGAGTAATCTCTGATGGCTGAACTATTGGCAGCCTTGTGCTGGATTACACATGGAATAGATTTTTAAAAAATCCTGTCCCAGACCCTACATTCCTCACTCTGCACACAGTCCACCAGGGTCCATCTGCAAACCCAGATGACCCAGAGCTTCAGGGCTTGGCGGGGGCAAAGGAGATGATAATGCCTGCTGAGAATCAGACAGGGCCCTAGCATTGGAACTACTGTATGTGTCATATCAGGGGGCTGTCAGGGTGCACTGGGAGGTGGAAAAGTGGAGAGGAATAAGGGAGAGGGCTGTGTCTAGGATTTCTCCAGTGGGCACTAAGGACATGGCAGGTTCTGAGCAGCTGACTTGGAACTCACTGTGTAGACCAGGCTGGCCTTGATTTCATGGAGATCTGTCTCTCTGTACAGGAACTAAAGGAATGCATCACCACACCCAGTTTATGCTTTTTTTTTTTTTTTTTTTTTTTTTAGACAGGGGCTCCCTTTAGCCCCCGCTGTCCTGGAACC